GAAATACCATTCAAACGTTTATATTCAATAATCATCTGCTGTGTGCAGAATAAAGAAATTAAAACGTTTTATATCTCGTATTCATCTGCTGTATGCAGAATAAAAATATTCAAAATGCTTTGTACCCAATCTTTGCCTGCTGTGTTCAGAATAAAAAAAAGTTTTTTCCTGTGTGCAGAACATGAAATAATAATGTTTATATCCCATTCTCAATTGCAAAATAAAAAATATTTAAAATGTTTTTCCAAAAATTTCTGCAGTAAACAAATGTACAAATTTAGCATTTGATAAATGATTGTCATTGCGGGCAAAAGAACATGCATCCAACATTTCCGAATAGACTTCGACCGAGTCCTAATGTTCGATGTGCATGTGTTCAATGACGTTATTCTTTCCAAATTTAACAGACATCTTTTGTTGGTTTAGTAGGAAATCTTCAATACGACCAGGGTCGTCTTTCAAATCTTCTTGGTTGCTGATGATGAGGAATTTCACGATTTCAAAATGGAACATCGAGAGCTTTCTTTTCTCTATCTTTTGGTTGCATAAAAATGTACAAATTTTATCTGTAAACTTTTGTTTCATGCTGCAAGAAGGACATATTACAACTGAATCGATAAATTCATATACTGTAGTATATATATTTTTTGCAGCTGCCACAGGCAATGCTTTTTGTAATCGCTACTTGCGCTATTCTTCCGTTAAGTTTGGATAATGTTTCAGTAAGAGGCAAGGTAGCAACAGATTCCATTGCAGTTGTTTCCACCATTGTTGATGTTTTGGTAGCTGTTAGGAATTTGGAATCATTAAAGATTCTGGTGGACAAATTTTGAAAGTGCATACAAGACTACTTAAAACTTGTATATAACGCCGAAACAGTTAAATTCAGCGGAAGCTTGCAACATTTGTCTACATTGTTTGAAATTTTAGGTTCGTCAGTTAAAATCATAGATGTACGTTTATAAATATAATTTTTAGAAAAGAAAGTAAAGCATAAAAAAATACACATATTTCAAATTCAAAAAAATAATAAATTTTGGTAGCTGCTTAGGAATTTAAAACATTAAATGTTTTTTGTCAAATTTTGTCCCCGTTTCGTCAAAAGCACAAAAACTTTATATAACGTCCGAAACAGTTCAAAAAACTTTAACCTTGCCCAACTTTTGATTTAGTGTTATGAAATTTCATATTTCACATGTGTATTTAAAATCACAAGACCTCTCTTTGGGTACCAAAATTTACATTTTGACCTTGACCTTGGAGTAAACCACTTTTAAAATTAACAATTTCAAACTTTTAAATGGTAACTAGGATTTTATTTCACATATGTATTTTTGTAGCAAGACATTTTATTAGATACCAACAACTTTGAACTTTTGACCTTGACATTAGAGATTTATGTACTTATGAAAAAACTTTAACCATGACCAAAACTTTTGATTTAGTGGAGCTATGACCTTTATATTTCACATGTGTATTCCTTGTGACAAGACCTTTCTTTGGGTACAACCTTTTGACCTTGACCTTGGAGTTTGACGCTTTTTTACACAAAAATTACAAACTTTTCCTTTGGCCATAACTTTTGAATGGTATGTACTAGGACTTTCATATTTCACATATATATTTTTGTAGCAAGACCTTTTATTGGATACCAACAAATTTGACCTTTCGACCTTGACCTTGGAGATTTATATACTTATGAAAAAACTTTAACTTTGACCATAACTTTTAAACGGTAAGGGCAAGGGCTTTCATACTTCAAATATGAATCCTTGCGAGAAAACCTTTCATGGGATACCAGAAACTTTGACACTTTGACCTTGACATTGGATTTTTAACTACTTTTTAAAAACTTTAACCTTGGTCACAACTTTTGAACGGTAGGTATTAGGACTTTCATATTTCACATATGTATTTTTTGTGGCAAGACCTTTAATTGGATACCAACAACTTTGACCTTTTGACCTTTGAGATCTACGTACTTATGAAAAAACTTTAAACTTGATCATAACTTCTGAACGGGTAAGGGCTAGGGGTTTTGTATTTCACATACGTAATGCTTGTGAGAAGTCCTTTTATTGGATATCAATAACTTTGACCTTGATTTCGGAGTTTGACCTTCTTTTCAAAAACTGTGACCTTGGCCTTAACTTTTGAATGGCAGATACTAGAAATTTCATATTTCACATATGTATTTATTATTTTAGCAAGACCTTTCATTGGATACCAACAACTTTGACCTTTGACCTTGGAGATTTTACGTACTTATGAAAAAACTTTAACCTTGACCATAACTTTTAAATGGTAAAGGCTAGGGCTTTTATTCTTCACATATGTAATCCTTGTGAGAAGACCTTTCATTGGATACCAAGAACTTTAACCCTTTGACCTTGACTTTGGAGTTGACCTACTTTTAAAAATAACTTTAACTTTGAACGGTTAGAGTTAGAGTTTTCATCGTTCACATTTGTATTACTTGTGACAAGACCCTTTCACCTTGGAGTTTGACCTACCTTTCAAAAATTTATCCTCGACTATAACTTTTGAACAGGTGGTGCTAGGGATTTTGTATTTCACAATCGTATTTCTTGTGAGAAAAACCTACTTTGGGTAATAATATATTTGATTTGCATTTAAGAAAAGTTTAATCTGCATTATGTACCCATACGGGGTCATCTGTGTTTCACAAACACATCTTGTTCCTTAAATTGAGAAGAGATAGTGCTTTCATATTTGACATGTGCATTTCCTGTGACAAGACAATTCCGAGCATGCTATATCTTACCCCTTGACCTTCCCGATTGACCTTATTTAAAAAAAAATCAACTTCAATGATAATTTCTAAATAAATGACATATGATAGGATGTGCATATTAGACACAACATGTCATAAAAAATAACATCTCACCCACAAAGACACCGAAAGCGGGGGTCCACAATTCTTTGAATTTGCTTGTTTCAATAAGGCTTGTAATGTCGTTTTAGTATTGGTGTCATTATATCTCAATCTCCATTCTGTCTGTCCGTCCGTCACAAAAACTTTAACCTTGCCCACGTTTGATCTAGTGGAGCTATGACTTTCATATTTCACATGTGTATTCCTTGTGACAAGACATTTCTTTGGGTAACACAAAATTTAATCTTTTGACCTTAACCGTGGAGTTTTACCCACTTTTACACAAATATTTAAAGCTTTTAATTTGACCATAAATTTTGAACAGTAGATAATAGGACTTTCATATTTCACATTTGTATTCTTCATGGCAAGACCTTTCATTGGATAACAACAACTTTGACCTTTTGATCTTGGAGATTGAAAAAATTTCAACCTTGGCCAAAACTTTTAAACGGTGTGAGCTTTCATACTTCACATATGTAATCTTTGTGAAAAGACCTTTTATTAGATAACAAGAAATCTGACTTTGACCTTAGAGTTTGGCCTACTTTTTAAAAACTTTAACCTTGGCCATAACTTTTGAAGGGCATTGGCTATGGCTTTCGTACTTCACATATTTAATCCTGTTGACAAAACCTTTCATTTAATTAGAAGAACTTTGACCCCTTGACCTTGGAGTTTTACCTACCTTTTTAAAACTTTTAACCTTGGCCATAACTTTTGAATGGTAAGGGATAGGGCTTTCATACTTTACATGTGTAATTCTTGTGAGAAGACATTTCCTTCGATACCAAGAATTTGACCCTTTGACCTCAGAGTTTGATCTACTTTTAAAAAACAAACCTTGATCATAACTTCGGAAGGGTTATGGCTAGAGCTTTCAAATTTCAACTATATAATTTTTGTGACAAGTCCTTTCATTGGATATCAAGAACTTTGACCTCGAAGATCTCCGTACTTATGAAAAAACTTTAGCCTTGGCCATAACTTTTGAACAGTAAGGACTAGGGCTTTCATACTTCACATATGTAATTCTTGTGAGAAGACCTTTCATTGAATACCAAGAATATTTACTCTTGACCTTGACCTTTGATTTTGACCCACTTTTAAAAGACAACCTTTACCATAATATTTGAAAGGTTAGGACTAGGGCTTTCATACTTCACATCTCTAATCCTTGTGACAAGACTTTTCATTTGATATCAAGAACCGTGACTCTTTGACCTTTGAGTTTTACCCACTTTTAAACAAAAAATCCAAACTTTTACTTTGGTCCTAATTTTTAAATGGTAGATACTATGAATTTCAAATATCAGTTTTTTGTGGCAAGACCTTTCATTTGAAACCACCAATTTTGACCCTTTGACCTGGACCTTGGAGATTTCCGTACTTACGAAAAACTTTAACCTTGGCCACAACTTTTTAACAATAAGGGCTAGAGCTTTCATATTTCACATATGTAATCCTTGTGACAAGACCTTTCATTGGATATCAACTACTTTGATCTTAACCTTGGAGTTCGACCTACTTTTCACAAATTCTAACCTTGGCCATAACTTTTGAACGGTAAAGATCAGCACTTTATCTACCCATATGTAATGTTTGAGACAAGGCCTTTCTTTGAAAACCAACAGTCTTTACCCTTTGACCTTGACCCCGGAGTTTGTCCTACCTTTAAAAATGTTTACCATGGTCATAGCCTTTGAACAGGTAGTGCTAGGGTTTTATATTTCACATTTGTATTTCTTTATAAAAAAGGCCTTACTTTAGGTACCAACATATTTGATCTGCTTTTAAAATAAAGAATACCTTCCCTATGTTATACGGGGTCATCAATGTTTCACAAACATATCTTGTTTAATGCTGCATTTGATATTTGTAATTATAAAGGAAAAATGTATTCTGTGAGTCATATATGGAAAGTTTTATTGAAATTTTAAGTTATCAATTTTTCAAATGCATTAAATTGATTAGAAAAAAAAAATACACATGGAATTTCAAATTAGATTATTTGTACAATGCTGTAAAACATAGACTTTAAATGACTTATTAATGATTAAAACGGAGCGCTATCATTTCCAAATGTGTTATACAAATCTAAATTGCTATTTAGTTATCCTTTCATGATCTCTACCAACATGACGGCGCCCGCTCCGATCGCTGCTATCATCCCAATGATGCTGAAGGCGAAAGCAAAATGGTAATCAAAGTCTATGATCAACAAGTCGTTCATTTTGGCTGCATACACTGATATTTCTTCGAACATAACATTTACTTAATTCCTGAAGGATGGACTGTCATAAAACTAATAATTAAGACAAAAGGTCACTGTATGCTGAAAATGATAAATTATAATAAAATATTTCTACAAATTAAAATCTCAATAACATAATTGATTGGCCACATGACAAAAGGTCCTTATGGCTTTCTTTGTAGAACAGAGAAAAAACGTCACAAAGATGTGACGTTGATTTTGTCTGAAAGCGTTCTTAGTGAAAGCGCGGATTTTTTCCCCATCAAAACGTGTTTCATTTATCAAGTATGAAACGTACAAGTGTAAACAGAATAATGTTTATATGCTTTGTGAAATTAATTTTATAATATTTACTTATTTTTTTTTCAATCTTTATTAAATCCGAATCTTTATATTCCGCGCCGGTTTCTTCAGAATTATACGGACGACAACTCTTTCCTTGACAACACTTACTGAAGAAGAAAATAATGCTTCAACAATTTAATCATTTCCTGTAATGGATGAGTTTGAGGTATTGGCATGTCTCTTTAAGTATTAAATAATTTCAAGATTTGTCACTTGCTATAGATTTATAAATTATGATATACATGTAGCCTAGACATCGCTCTGAACATGTTGATCCGCCCGTCTGCATCTGTTTACGTTTGGAGTCATTGACAACACTACGACTGACGAGCTATAACTTCATAACATCTTACTAAATTGACCATAAAATACTATTCAGAACCTGGTTGTTTTTTCAATTCTGTATCGAAGATTTCAACACCATTGCATGAAATACACAATTAAATAAAATCTCACGTTTGTCAAACGCCTATAGCATTTTATATTCTGTTCGTTAGTAAACAAAGAGAGATAATCCATCTACACGAATAGGGAAAAAATGAGGCCTCACAAGGGGAAATGATTTTAGCATGAAAAATACGAAAACAAACGTAAATGCCAAAATATATAATATTATCAGTTCATCAATGTTATTTGAAATAAACATGAGAACTGGAATTTCAGAATTTACTAAGAAATTAGATATTTTGTGTGAAAAATGTATATCAAAAATATATTAAAATTGATAACAAATTAAAAAAAAAATTCAATACTGAAATTAGAATATTTTTATCTTTTTATGAAGATCTCTAACAATGTACATGCATGAAATTTGTTAATTAAAAATATTTGATGATAAGTAAAGAAAATAATTTTAAGGCAAAAATAAAAGTTTGATAAACTAATGAAAAAATAAAAATAAAATAATTTGTTTCACAGAATTAAAATTTGTAAACTGCTTAATATTGCATTTGATATCATCTAGTAAGATTCTAAAACTGATTATCTTTTCTAAATGTTGAATTTTCATAATGTTACCTATCTCTATAGTCGTTTTACGCCACTTTTTTGGGTTTTAATAAAAAGAAATTAATTGATTTCATTAAATTATTTTATTTTAATTTTGTTTCAGGAACTTGATAATCTCTTCAGTGATCATTTTGGCATTCACACAGATGGTCGTAACAGAGAGCTACAAGACGACAAATGTACAGAAAGTACCGATGATGAAGATGAAGTAGATGTCGACGAAATGGTGAACTTAAGGGTCTCACATTTTGTGCAAGATCGCAACGACGGCAGTATGGATGCTAGAGAACAAGAAAATACTGAGCAAGCAATCGGAAACACGGATGAAGATTCAGAGAATTTGAAATGTAACTGTGTGAATAACTGTTTCGAAAACTTTAATTCAGCAGAAATCAGGGACCATATTTACAGACTACGTGAAATGACGAAAGACGAGAAAGAAATGTTTATAATGGGGTCGATCAAACAAATTGGGAGTAAGAAAATCACATCGAAACGCAAAGAACGTAAAAGGCTAAGTTACGAGTATACATTTCAAGGACAGGGAATCTGTAGAACAGCATTCATGACCATCAATGACACATCTGAAAAAGTAGTGAAAAATATTAGTAGGCATTTAAATGACAACGGAGCAGTTCCCCGAGAACATGGAAATACCGGGAAAAAACCCACCCATGCCCTAAAATATGAGGATGTTCAAAATGCCATTACTTTTATCATCAATTATGCTGCAGAGGTAGGAATGCCCCAACCGGAGGCTCCAAGAGGAAGCGACGGAATCCCACCTATCTTCTTACCGTCATCAGATACAAAGAAAGGTATTCACGAGCGTTACCTAGCCTCTTGTGAAGGTACAGATGTTCGTGCTCTGAAATTATCGTCTTTTACAGAGGCGTGGCAAAACTGCATCCCAAATATTAAAATTAGCCGGCCTCGAGATGACGTCTGCCAAAGGTGCGAGTGCCTCAGAAAAGAGATTATTGATGCAGTGACTGAGGAAGAAAAGCTGGCTTCCACTGAAAAGTTTAAAAAACATTTGGAAGATGCAAAGACAGAAAGAACTCATTACAGAAACTGTGTGGAGAAGTCGATAGAAGAAATGTCAACCTGGGAGGGAGCTGAGCTGACCAATGTGCACTATACGTTTGACTTCGCACAACATTTTCAATTACCTCACCACTCCCGTCAAATGGGACCCACTTACTTTATACAGCTGCGAAGAGTGCAGGTCTTTGGAGTACGGATAGATGGTGTGTCCAGACAAATCAATTATGTGATTGACGAAGATCAAACTATAGGTAGGTTTCCACTGTAAAATCTCTCTCTCTCTCTCTCTCTCTCTCTCTCTCTTGCTCTCTCTCTCTCTCTCTCTCTCTCTCTCTCACACACACACACAAAAATACACACCCTCCCTTAAATATAATGAATATTTATATATGTATAAAAACACTATAAAAACTATTACGACTTTTATGCATATATGTATTTGCAATTCATGATAAAATTTTATTTTAAGGACAAGATGGGACATTGACAAATGGACCAGATGCTGTTATAAGCATGCTGGACCATGCACTCACAGAAAACGGATTTGGGGAAAGAAAATGCTCTCTTCATGCGGACAATTGCTCAGGTCTGTTATCATTAAAGTATCAATGCTTATATGTTATGATTTAGTTGTACATGCCTTGTGTATGTGTTAAAAAAAAATCTTGATTTTTTGCACAATAGGACAGAATAAAAACCAATATGTCTTGGCATACTTGTGTTGGCGTGTGATGACCGGTCGACACGAAGAAATCGAATACTCGATGCAAATTCCTGGACACACAAGGTATACAATATTTCTCAGTTGTTAAAGCTATTGTCATCTTTAAAGTAAAAAAAAAATTATTACATGTTATATACTTTAATTTTTTTAGGTGTCTTGTAGATAGTGGCTTTGCCCACATTCGGAAGTTGTACCGGCGTTCAGATGTCGATTCTTTGGGCCAGTTCCAAACGTTAATTAATAAGTCTGCCGTATCAAACGAAGCAGTGTTATTCCAGACCGGTACTTGGCAGTGGAGAAGTTGGAAAGTGTTTTTATCCTCCCACTTCACTGCATTAAGAGGCATTAGGCAGTACCACCACTTCAGATTCAGCGCAGAGAATCCCTGGAGTGTGTCCGTTAGAGAGCGCGTCGACAGCGAGGAAAAGTTAGTGTCCATAAGAAAGAGAGGAGCACCAGAATTCGATGCCACGACACTTCCAGAAGTGATTGTCCCTCCTGGTCTTTCCAAGGAAAGACAGCAGTACCTATATAGGACTGTGCGTCCATACGTCCGACCAGCCCACCAGGAGGAGTTGTGTCCCACTCCCGCGGAGGAGTAGATATGTCCCGGACACAACCACACAATGAATGTATTGTTATTGGTTTTAGGTTATAAATTAAGTTTTGTTGTTTTAATACAGTTATATTTTCAATAAGTTAAGATGCCCATAGTGATAAAATTTTCTTTATAAAGATATATTTGTAAATTATCACAAATTCACTGTTATATTATTTCTAATGAATTTTTCAATGGTATGCATAGCAATAGTTTAAAGATAAAATTTACTACCCACCCAGAAACGTTGAGTTCCCTTATTACTTTGATGATGAGTAACATGAAATGACGTAGTACATATATTAAGTATTCTTTACTAAATTAGATTAATATTTTAAATGAAGAAATAAAGATGATAATTTAAAAAAATACATGTAGTATCAAAGAAGAATTAGTTTTTATGAAATATTAGATCAACAGAGTTATTTGCAAAGATTCATAATGACGTTCATGACGTTGAAGCATTACGTTGCTGAAGATCAACGTCATTAGCAAAAACTCATTACTTTAAATGAAAAATAAAAGTATTTATGGTTGACAGATCACAATGAAACTTCATATTATTAATCATCTGACTTGTATCTACTTAAATCAACAATAATCTGAAAATGTGAAAAAAATGCCATAAGGACCTTTTGTCATGGGGCCAATCATATCTCTTACCTCCAGCAAAAGCTGTGCCTATCGCTACAAACAGAATCGGTTTCATATCTTTTAGAACGAACAGTTTTAACACTGTCATGATTGCTGCTACCACCAATACCAGAAACCCAAGGATGCTCATGGCTCGTACTGCCTTGAACCAATCTTTTAAAAATAATATCATTACAATGGGAGACTGTGATACGCAAAAGACAACGATTTCAAATGTTTATTTTTTTCATAACACTTTCGGTTAGTTTAGATTGAAATCTTTAAGCTTGTTTAAAATATCTCTTTAATATTCAGTTTTACATGCAAAAAATAGTTACTGTAAAGCTTAATGCATCCAGTGTGTGAAATATATTTTTCCTTCATTTTTCTCTATTTTAAAAGAAATCTTAGTCTCAAAGTCATAAGCTTTGTAAAGAATGTATCTGTACCGTAATCTGTAAGTTCCACATCGATGCATTCGGTATTTCCAGTCAAAATTACTTTAGAACACGTCTTCCACAAACCAGAATTTATTTTGAATATTATTATATCATAAGATATCCAGTAAGGCGACGCTAATCCAATCAGTTGAAAGATAACTGCACATATTGTAAGCACCAGTGCAATAAGCTGAAATTTAGAGGCTTCCATATTTTTGGACCTGAAACAAATTGTAATTGTTATAATGTTTCCTATATATGTGAACTACCAGAAAAACATTTACAAAAGGGTCAATATAAGAACAAATATATTAGAAATATTAAGAATAATGTTTTGCATGTTTGATAACTTTGCATCAAATCCGTGTCATTGGTCTTTTATTAATTTCTTAATTAATATTTTGATTCTACACACAAGTATTTCAATGTTGAAATTAAAAAAAGATGCATGTTCTGATTGATACATGTATATATCAAGGTTTTTTTTCTATCACAAGTTTCCAAACTCTGATGGAATTCCAATGGTTATTCATTTCGCCTTATTATTAGCAGTCTTATATTTTGAATTCATATGAAGTAGAATTTACTTTATTACATCTTAGTCTCGTTTTCCCCAGACTCTCGCTCTCGAGACTTTGCCCGAGCGAGAGTCTGGTCTGATTCCTATTTAATTTTTGTAATTTCAAATCGAGGCTTACCGAGAAATCGGTATGGATTTTCATTGGCTGATACATTCTCTTCGATGCTAAGATCTGTATTCTTTAAAAAGTCAGAGGCTGCGCCTTTACTTTTATCTGGTTTTATAATAAAATTCCTCTGTCTGCTTTACAAGGAACAAAAAACGCACATATCTTTGTTTAAAAAGTAAATTCTCACATGTATTTTCATGGAAGTCGCCATCTTGTTAGCCGGTTTAGCGACCTCTACTGGTTACAAAAATTAAATAGGAATCAGACCAGACTCTCGCTCGGGCAAAGTCTCGAGAGCGAGAGTCTGGGGAAAACGAGACTATATTACATCTGTATGAAAAGAATAAATCCCCTGATGTGGTCCTCACGTGTGTATTTAAAGGTTAAACTTAGATATTCTAGCTTGTTTATACAACATGACGTCAACTTAAGCAGTGTGACGTGAACTTTCGGAATAACGATTTCTTTATATTGATTCTAGTCTATTTAAGAAATTAAAACATGCAAAACATCAATTATTTAATGACATATTGGAATGTATAAATAAGGAAGAACATAGCGATTGGATACTATTTCCATGACTTAATAGCTGTTGGTAAAATATTTGCTGACTGAAAACAAGATAAGAATGTTTGCGGATAAATATTTACACTTCCAATGTCTTTGTTCGAAATAAAATTACAAATAGTTGATAAACTTTATTTCTCCATCAATGTACTGGTTCATCGATAGGCGCGGTTTAAAAAAGATCATGTGCGGAACGAGACAAAGACAGACAAGAAGCGAGGCTTGTAGAACTTGGATTAGCGGAATCAATAGCATGAAAATATAAGGAACAAGTTGCTGTCCTTTAAAATAAGGACTACAATACGTGGACCATATGCATGTGTTTCTAACCGAAATTCAGTCAATTCAAGACAATTTCTAGGTTTAGTGAATATTCATGTAGGTTTGATCACATTTTCTATTATGATCTGCCTTCTTTGACTGACAGTACTTTCATAGCAAAATTGTTAAATGTTATCTCCGATTGGCCTATATAGTTTTGTCATCTTTTAAAATGGGGCTATATTGATCAAAGGCGGATCCAGGACCGGCGCGCCGGGCGTGCCCCCCCCCCCCCCTCCCGTTTGAAATTTTTTGTAAGTTAATGTTCATTATCCTAAAATCAAGGAAAAAACATCTCATATTTGTAACCCCCCCCCCAAAAAAGGACCTTGCTTTAGAGCTTCGGTGCAGCCACCTGACCTATGGACTTCTACTGCGCCCCCCCCCTCCCCCGTTACAAAATTCCTGGATCCAGCACTGTTGATACATGTACCCCATAATGGCTGGGACTTGACATCTGTTTTGGATTTATACGGAAGAAATCTATAATTGGAAAAATATATCTGATGGTACACGTGTAGCACAAGTACGCAGATTTTTTTCAGAGTCCCCCATCCTTCCTCCACATGAAAAACTCTTGCTACAGGCCTGTATCACGCTATACTTGGATTGCTGTATCTCAAATTATTTTTGCGAGCCTTGATGGACAAAACATGCTGATGAAGTCAAATTCTTCCTACTTTTTAAAATGCATCTACCATAGAATCAATTTTAAGTTTGTATATAAAAGTATATGTCTAAGAGCGCCAATAAATAAATAATGCAGGACCTGGTTTAAAAGCGTGATTTGCCAATGAACAATGTATATTCTCGAATGGGGCAAATTCGCGGGTAAGCTGTCTTAGCAGGGGGGGCGAACTCTCCCAATCGCACATTCTCGGGCCTTCCCGATTGGCTAAGTTGTTTTTCCGACCTCTGACGGAAATACCCGAGATGATGCGATTGCGAACTCTCCAGCATTCTCGCGCATGAGTAGCCTGTCGTATGCCCATGGCATCCGGTTTAACCTCGCTTATATATTTTCTGCGTGGACCTCAGGGTCCACGCAATAACTTTCAGATTTTTTGATTTCATGACGATGATCAATCAGTTGGCTTGCGTGATAATTTTATGCATATACGCCTTTGACGTTTTATGCAAATTATCACGCAAGCCAATCGATTGACATCACGAAATCGAAAAATTAGACAGTTATTCCTTAAATATGTATACTTACATGTATGTACCATATTATGGGAAATTTCTGCGGTTCTATTACTAGTTTTGCAGAATTTTGTGAAAAGGACAACAACAACAACCCCCCCCCCCCAAAAAAAAAAAAAAAACATTGTAAGCTTAAGAATGTTGGAACTTTTTAAATAATTTACGTAGACTTACTTAATTATAAAAGAGCTTTGTTTAATATTTCATCACCTTGAATCATCATGTCATTAAATTAAGGGAAAAATATAAGCTATGTTCTGCCAAATCCTCGGAATTTGGTGTTCATCTTCCGTATAAATTTTTTTTTTTGCGGTACTATTCACATGTATTCGCAAAAATCGAAAACGCAAAAATGATTTTTTTTTAAATCTTTCGGGGTATCTCAAAAATATCCAGCCACAAAAAATACAAGTTATATGGTATATAAAGAGTGTTTAAAAAGTGCATTCTACATTTTTCTTTCAGTATCGAGGACGATTAAAATTAGAAAATAGTTAAAATTTGTGTTAAAACACAGAGAAAATTTGTTAAAACTCCATGTTCACGGAGTCCATTCTTGCTATTAAGCATACCCGATCCTCAACCAGGAAGGATAACTCTTTAATTTTTAATTTAAAATCTTTTCATGCATCAATTTTTATTTTATGCTTTTCAATGTGATTCAAGTTTCTTTGAAGTTTTTAGATATTTTTTTATTATTTTTTTAACGGTATTACACATGTAAAAAGGTTGAAATTTGTACCTCATAAAAGTAAGCAAAAGTTACATGCACACAGTTAAACAAATCCATGTTCTTTTGATTCAGCCTTAGTTACCAATGTTTATTAGGATGATATGAAATAAGAAGTGATTTATGGTGTATGATCTATGACAGGAAACACTTCATACACTTTGCTTTATAAAATGATGGAAGTGAAATAGGAGAAACTAAAGTACGGAATAAGTATAAAAGTAATACAATTTTTTCCAAAAGCCTGGATACATATCATTTTTATTCTTAAAATGTATTTGTTGATCAATTTTCAATTATAAAAAAATTTAGATTTACTAATTTTCCTATGTAATACGATTAACTTTAAAAACGAAGTTTTAAGAAACCTAGTGGGTAAATATGCATTACTTTGAGAATTTAGAAACATCTTTGTGAGTATTTTCAATTACTCAAAGCCTGATTTTCATAACCTGAGGATCGGACTACCTTAATGAGATTTTTTGCAGTGTTTTGTTCAAAAGAAAAGGAGAGGGCAGGTAGTAAATCAAATGATATCCGTGCAGTAAAAAATCAAGGATCAAACAAAATGGAGAAATATCTTAAGTTTTCAGGCCAATATGTCTTTTCTAATATTATCTATGCAAAATTAATCAAGAACTTATGTAATCGACGTCAGCTTGGTTGGTTTATCTCTAAAACCTTATAGACACAAAGGGTTATAATGGAATCCCTTTTATAATAAAAAAAATCAATTAACTCCATTTGTTCTCTTCAGTGCCATTTTAAAAATATTTTTTCTATATTATTCCTCAATCTTTCATTGAAATAAACGTTCTTTAAATATTAAGACAAAGGTTCCAGTGTATATCCGATTCACAGATATCTTTTTCTCAAATTATTTAAAGATAAATTTATGACGCTGTTCAATTTTTACAAATTTAAAACCATTATACGAGGGTTGATCCAAAAGTAATGTCACAACTTCGATAAAATTTCTCCTAGTCGACGTAAATTAACAAAATTTTACAGGATGAAATCTATATTTATTTTAAATCAGTCCTGAAAAATTCAAATTAAAATAATTTATACTTTTCAAAATATCGAATTGAACACAAAGTGCGATTATGGTAGTCGCCGCACCTAAATAACGTCATAAAACGGATATGCGCCGTCACACACTTTTAAAAACGCCTTCCCATTGTTTTATTTAAAAAATTGATATTCACAAAACATTCACATATTTTATTTTCTTTAAGAACAATTGGCACCAATTGTACACTTTATCTATAATTTAATCCTTCATCACAATTCTTTGAACAATACCAGAAGACAAACTTAAAAGTGTCTCATATCACTCAAACTGCCACGAATCTCTTTTACGACAACGTCGACGCCATTGAACGTTTCCACCCGACCTCCTATTTTTCGGTATTTCTGTCCCCAAATGATCATTTTATTACCTATTACCCGCCCCAAATCTCTAAAACCATCTATGAACAAGTCTCTCGTTAACATTCTTTCCTCTGCGAGTTTGATTTACCATCATATCTGTTTCTACTTGTTATATCCCGATTTTGAAGGAAAAATACATTACAACTCGTTTCGGTGTTTTTATTCCATTTCGACATTTCCTTTCTGCAATATATCAGATATAAACAATACTGTTTATGATGAAAAAAAAAAACAATGCTGCCATTTGATTTTTAACTAAAGATTAGAAAATGTCGTAAATTTTGTCTTTTAAAATATTGGACGATTAGACGATTTTTTAGATGCTTTTTTTAAATGTGTTTGTCTTTTTTCATTCGAACAATATAAACTTTAAAACGTGACGTTTAGTTGCGAAGCGGCGACACCCCTATGTTTCATGTTTTAAACATCTATAAAATGAATTCAATTGAACATTATTAAATAAAATTTTCAATTCTGATTAGATTTATGTTTATGCATCTTTTGGTGCATTATATTTGATAATATGACGCCAAATATTAAAGATATGGACACAGTGACATTACTTTTGGATCAACCCTCGTAATAGAAAAGCTGTAAGTAACTGCATTTTGAAAGTGCAAGAAATTTTTTTTATAATATAATGACTAATATTTCAATTCAAACAAATTCATCTTTGACACCACAAGCTTTGTTAAGCAAATACAATATCATGTATAAGCAAATCATTTTTGAGCAGTGATTAAAAGAGTAAAAGGAAGGCAGTGATAATTACCTGATCCGATGTGCTCTTTCAAATTATATATCTGTTTTACACCTTGAGTACAAAGAACGGTTTAAAGTGTGTGACGTAATGGGAGTTTGCAAAGATATTTGTTCTTCTGTAGACATGCGCATTAATGTTTTAAAAAATATAATAAAGAGATAGTGTTCTCTAAGGGAGTTGTCACGACCTAAATATTTTATAGAAGTTCATAAAAATGTCAGTATGCAAAAAATATTGCTATTGATTTTTAATACCTTGTGCCATTTGTTTTCTGAAGTGGTGCAAAAGGGTGGACCATCAAGATAATTCTGCATACATAAGCCTGTTAAGTCATGTATTTCACGTAACTTGTATCCTTTTCTCATACATATTAAAAACAAAACTGGAGATGTACAGGTCATTGAATTAAATAAATGGCTGGAGAGATCTTTTTAAATCTTGAAAAAAAAAATCTAAAAAGAATTTAATAAATATCAAGGTAGAATGCCATACCAATTTTTTTTTATTTCATAGATCTTTGAGTCATCCTTTTTAAACAATGGTATCAGCATTGAATGGCCGATATTAGCTCTTAATTATTTTATATTATATTAATTTTTTGTATTTTTTCAAAGAAAATGAAAAAAAAAAAATTATATACAAATAAGTTGTTTTTGAGTTAAAAGTTTGCTGTAAATGAATGCATCATATGAATATCTAATAAAATATGTAAAGAAAGGCTGGCTAGAATTTTAAATTTTAAAAAAAATTATTTATTAAAATAAAACACATTGTTTGGGAATATTTTTTAAACCTACGGTTAAAAACACCATAAAACTAGTCACAACTGAAGAGAACATATTTGTCAATCATATTTTAAAAAGAAATTGAAACGAAATTGAGAAATTTCAGAGAAATTAATTTTTTTTTATATTTGACCTAACCCGATTAAAATTAAACTGACCCCGATCAAAATTAACACAAAATGAATAAAATACTAATTTACTGTATTGCCTCTTTATGTATTTACAATGTAGAAATCTATTTTATTGTCAAGGTTAATAATGTTTTAACCCTAGCTAATCAAACTAGTGTTCTTGGGGAAATGTTATTTATTTCCAATAATTGTACAATTATTGTTGGGATCGGTATTCGGGATATGATTGGGATTGGCCAAAAGTACGTTTCAATTTCTTTTATAAATATGATTAACGAACACGTTCTCCCCAGTTGTGAATGATTTTAAGATTTTAACCACAAGTTTAAAAAATATTCACAAATCATGTGTTTTATTTTCATTAATATTTTTTATTTAAAATTTTTTAATATCTATACAGCTTTTCTTTACATATATCATTAGGTATTCATATAATGCATTCATTTTACAGCAAAATTTTCACAAGAAAGCATATTATTTTGATGTAAATAATTGCGTGGACCCTGAGGTCCACGCAGTAAATATATAAGCGAAGTTAAACCGGATGCCATGGGCAAACAACAGGCTACGCATGCGCGAGACTGCTGGAGAGTTCGCACCTTAGGTAACTTGCCCGTAGAATAATTCGCACTATTCGAATTAGAATATGCCATTCATTGGCAAATCGCGCTTTAAATCTGAATATCGCATTTACATATTCATATTCATCCGAATTTCCCTCTTATACATATACTTTAATATACAAACTAAACTTTGATTCTACGGTACAAGCATTATAAAAAGTAGGAAGAACTTGCCGTATATAGATAGTACATGTAACTTAATAACTTGAATGAAAAACGTCATACAACGACTAGTAGATAGCTTTTAAAAGATAGAACAAGTTTTCACCGGCATTGATTAGTTTTGTGCATCAAGGCTCGCAAAATAATTTTTAGGTCACCTGAGTAACTCAGGTGACCTATTGCTATCCATTTTCGTCCGTCGTCGTGCGTCGTGCGTTAACATTTGAACATTTTCAGCTTCTTCTCTGAAACCACTGAACCAATTTCAACCACATTTGGTATACAGCATCTATGGGTGAAGGGGAACAAAAGTTGTGAATTTTATGGTCCCAGCCCCCCTGGGGCCTGAGGGGTGGGGCAAAAACCATTAAAATTATTGCATTCTTTAAAAATCTTCTTCTTTATTCCTGGACATCAAACAGGCAAACTGTTGGCATGAATGTAATGAGCATTGAGTCCTTTACCAAAATTGTGAAATTCATGGCCCCAGGGTCAGGGGTTCTGGTGTTAGGGCGGGGCTCTATTGATCATATAGTGAAAATGCATTATTTCTTTGAAAATCTTCTTCTCTGCTCCTGGGTATTAAATTAACTAACTAAGTACATAGTTATGATGAGAAAAAGTGCTTCTTCCTAAATTGTGAATTTTATGGCCCCAGGGTCAGGGATTCTGGTGTTAGGGCGGGGCTCTATTGATTACATGGTGAAAATGCATTTATTCTTTGAAAATCTTCTTCTCTGCTTCTGGGTATTAAATAGACTAACTAAGCACATAGTTATGATGAGCAAAAGTGCTTCTTCCAAAATTGTGAATTTTATGGCCCCAGGGTCAGGGATTCTGGTGTTAGGGCGGGGCTCTATTGATCATATAGCGAAAATGCATTATTCTTTGAGAAACTTCTTCTCTGCTTCTGGGTATTAAATAAACTAATTGAGTAGATAGTTATGATGAGCAAGAGTGCCACTTCCAAAATTGTGAATTTTATGGCCCCAGGGTCAGGGGTTCTGGTGTTAGGGTGGGGCTCTATTGATCATATAGTGAAAATGCATTTATTCTTTGAAAATCTTTTCCTTTGCTCCTGGGTCTTATGCCAATGATCCAAGTAAACATGTATATATTTATGATGAAGAAAAGTGCATCTAGCAAAATGGTTATTTTTTATGCTCCCTGGGTCGAAGGGGGGGGGGTTGTTAAATAGTCTGAAAATAAATTAATGCCTTGAAATCTGCTCTTTAGTATTAATCAACCATTTTATGATAAAATTTGCAAAATTTTGAAATATGTGGCCCCAGGGTCAGTGGTTGCTTTGGGTTGAGGTGCAAAACTGGTTATAAAGTGGAAGTACATTTTCTCTTTGTTACTCTGATCTACCTCTGGGTATTAAGTAATGTATTATGCTAACTTTATAATTATGATAAGCAATGGTGCCTCCTTCATAATTGTGATTTGTGAATTTCATGGCCTCTGGTTTAAAACACGAACCAATTTTAATTGGTTGAAAGATGTTACACGATACTCCGGTGACCTATAAGGCCCGTAGGCCTCTTGTTTATTTCAGCAATCTAAATACCATTTAAAAGAGGTATATAGCAACGACTTTTAATGAACAGGGGGGTGGGGGAGTCCGACAAAAAAAATACTGCGTTCTACAAGTGAACCATCAGATCCCTATTTTCCCCTGATAGATTTCTTCTGCATAAATCCAGAACGGATGTCAAGTCCCAGCCAGTATGGGTTACATGTATCAAAATAGCCCGAGTTTTGAAACTGACAAAACTAAAGGCTAATCGGAGATAAAATTTAATAATTTTGCTTTGAGACTACAATCAGTCATAAGTATGTAGATCATTGTAGAAAAAGTGGAGGTATGTCCAGTGCACCATGTTTTTTTCGATATTGTCGACATCGCTGTAAAAATACCAGTCCTCCTAATATCATAACATATTCAACATGACAATAATACCTTTGTTTATCTCTCTATATATAATAATGTTTAACAATATAACATCAACATCTTGTTAACACTGCCTTCCCCTTTTCTATTGTTGACATCGTTCACATCGTCGACATCGCAATGTTGGTCGATATCGAGTCGACATCGTGTCAACATTGCCCTTCTTATTTTTCTTGTTTACATCGTTCACATCGTCGACATCGCAATGTTGGTCGATATCGAGTCGACGTCGTGTCAACATTGCCCCTTTTCAAAATCTTGTTTACATCGTCGACATCGCTATTTTGGTCGATGATTGAGTTGATGTTATGTGAACATTGCATTCTTATTAATTTTTTGCTTATATACTTAGTATCTGTGTTGGCCTGTATAGAGTCGTCATCATCTTAACATTAAGTTTCCTTTTTTGTTTTTTTTATCTTGGTAAAATTATTGAAAACGCATTAAACGCATAAAATCAAGTTGAGTTCATATTGATAAGGCAATATATTCTGTTTACTTTTTGCATAGCATCACCAGGGCAATCTTTGACAATGAGTGCTCATCAAGAAACAATACCAAGTGTACATCATGTATAAGCATGTCTCTTACATTCTGAAAATGAACTAAAAAAGACCGATTTCCAACCTCGGAAACAGTGTTTGTCATCTGTACAGTATATGCAAATAGTTTTAACATTAATTAGATTGCGTTGTCAATATACAATGTAGAAATAAAAGCAATGTAGACAATGTAAACACGATATCGTATCAACATTTTCAACATTGCGATGTCGACGTCGACGATCTCGTCATGTAGAAAAAATGACAATATAGACGATTTAAACGCAATATCGTATCAACATTGTTTACACTGCGATGTCGACGATATCGTCATGTAGAAACAATAACAATGTAGACGATGTAAACGCGATATCGTATCAAAAATGTCGTCATGTAGAAACAATTACAATGTAGACAATGTAAACACGATATCGTATCAACTTTGTTAACATTGCGATGTCGACGTTGACGATGTTGTTATGTAGAAACAATAACAATGTAGACGATGTATTCACGATATCGTATTGACATTGTTTACATTGCGATGTCGACGATATCGAATTGATTAAGGGAGCTGGACATGAATGAAAAAGTTAACTAACCTACATGAATATATTCACTACACTTAGAAATTTTCTTAATCGAATTTCGGTTAGAAAAACATGATATAGTCCACGTATTGCAGTCCTTTTTTAAAGGACAGCAACTTGTTTTTTTTTTTCATTTTCTTTGAAAAAATACAAAAAAGTTTCATTTAAAATAATTAAGAGATAATGTCGTCTTTTCAATGCTAAAACAATTGTTTAAAAAGGTTGACTCGAAGATCCATAAAATAAAAAATTGGTGTGGCATTCCTCTTTAAATGCAATTTTTACATGTCGATAAAACAAAATATACAAAAACAAAAACATT